AACCCAACGCATAAATGAGTGCAATATTTTGATTTAGTTTATGTTTCTACAAAGACAGATTTGTCCTGATTTTCATTTTGACTGGTTATCTCTTTCATTTTGTGAAAGAATTCTTAGTATTGTGTACTATGTATCTCATTTTGCTCCTCAGAATATATTTCTCATTGTTTTCATGACAATGTACTTTTCTCAACCTTAGATTATCATAATAATAGTGAATTAGTTTTAAATACACAAGACTTTGGGACATGTATGTGAATTTCAACCTGAAGTGACTTAATCAAACAAGACAATGACTTTATATGAAAAATTTGTTTTGAAACATGAAATAATGTTATTTGCAGTTTTTAAGTGCCAAGATTCTGTGCTCTTTTTGACTCCTGTATCAAGCAGAAGTATTTATTATTCCTATTTATAGGTAATCAACCTGAGGGGGAGCCAGACTGGCAGATATAAAGAGTTTATGAGAGGTAAGTTGATGGGGACATTGCCAGAAAGACTCCAAAGTGTAGACAGCCTAACTGCAGCTTTGTTAAGGAATTTAGAATCACTATACAGTTAATTGGAAATCACTGATGTTCCTGAGTAGGGAAATTAAAAACCTAGAGAAGAGATTTGGGAAAATTAATCTGACCAAAGTGTACTATTTAAGCCCTCTGGTCTTCTGCTGTCTAAGCTCAATCATTTGGACAATTCCAAGATTATTTCATCAAAATATTTTTCAATCAATTTAGCTAAATAAAACTAGACAAATTCATTATATCTCCAATGCTTACTAGCCAACATAATTACTTTTTCTCAATTTCATTTAGTCAGTTCTAGTCAGGCACTGACATGGATCATAATAGATAACACCTATCCAGTACAGGCTTTTTGCCAGGTAACACAGTTCCAGTTCCAACAGTCACAAATCACAGAGCAGACAGTTATGAGCTACAGCAGATATTAGTTTGGTATTTGTGTGGCCCATATCAGTACTTGGCCCACGGTGATAGTTAGGAAATGTTTTTCATACTAAACCGTATAACCAGATGACCACATATTAAAAGACAAAAATACTTTATCTCATTAATGAATTGAAGTTATACACTTTTATTCTGTTTTGGAGACAGTGTCTCATTTCAGGCTGGCCTTGAACTTAGTATATATTTTAAATAATCCCTCCATTACTTATAATACCTCATACAATGTAAATGCTGTGTTGTCCTATCTAGGGAGCAATGTCCAGAAAAAGTTTATAGTTGTTTAGTATAAATACAATATTTTTCCAATATTTTTATCTATATACCCTTAGAGATGGAGTGCCAACTGAATTAGTAGTTCTAGTGTGTTACAAGCTTTTTTGTGATACCTGTTCATGATCTGACATAGCAGTTGCTATCTAGTCATCTAAGAGTATAACTGATAGCGCCCAGTGCTCTTTGAGGTGCAATCCTTACTCTATGGAAGCTTTCCTTCAGTCTAAAGATTTGGTAAGGGCTTTGACTCAGTGGCTCCACCTCCTGCCGCACAAGGGCAAGGGCCCGAGTTCGATCCCCGGTACCAAAAAAGAAAGAAAGAAAAAGAAATAAAAAATTTGGTAAGAATTGATGGCCAGTCGTGAGCATAAGAATCTTTGCTACGAAGCAAAAAAAGAAAAAAAAAGAAAAAAGACAAAGAAACTTTGCTTCATTTGATGTAAAGGAATCTATTTCCTTTACCAGGTATTTAAATTTATCTAATCTCCCCCAACAAAAACCTGTCAAGGATTTTCAAATATATATTAAACTCTGTGAAACATCTCAGGATATTCTTTAAATAAGAGCTGTCGTGGTTAGTATGGATAATTATGCATGAATGAGGAGTCCATAATGCTTTTCTGAATACAGGTGCCCCCCCATAATCTCTGCTTTCCATTTATTACTTCTCCTTCTATCTAGATTCTGTCTTCCCACTTTTTGGAAAGTACTTCAGCAGTAGTAATCACCTCCTAAGCTTCATAATTGTTTAATTCCTTGGTTTAAAAAAATCCACTAATTAATCTGGCATAGTGGAGCACATCTATAATCCCAGCCCTGAGGCAAGAGGCCTATGTAGCCTGGGCTACATAGTGAGACCTCATCTCAAAAACAAACAATTCATTAATCTAAGGGATTTTTCTATATGCTAAGAGTTGTGCAACTCTGGAAAACAGGATTAAAATATGGTGTCTGATGCTAAAGTTCTTAAAATCTGAAAAGACAAAAAGATTAAATCTTGTAACAAAACTCTACAGTAAAAATTCAAGAAAAACAAAGGTCCGTTGTTAGTTCAAATGTCTATGAATGTCAAAAAGGCTTCACAACATAGTGTGTTTTTTTAGCCAGATTTTCTTTCTTTTTGTACTGGTGATCAAACTCAGGATCTTGCACTTTTAAGGCAGGAGCAGCACCACTGAGCTAAATCCCCAACTCTTTCTAGCCAGATTTTTAAAGAGAAAAAGTTATGCACATGAAGTTGGGATTAAAAGTACATATGGCAGAGCTCATTTGCATTGTGCATATTTCAAAATTAAACCAACTTTCAAAAACTTGGCTTGGAACTTATACACTATGAAGAATATATAGAGAAAATAAAGGGTAAGAGATAAGGAAAGTAATTGTATATTACATTCTTAAAATTTCGAATAGACCAAGTACAGGTGTTTCATTATTCATTTATTAGGTGGTGCATGCATAGTGAGTTATTCAGTGAGTGGCTTTCCTTTTTAACATTAAAGTTGCTTCATTCATTTATTTAAAATGTATCTAATAAATAGTTATTGTGTGTTAGGGATTATGCGTTCGAAAATGGATAAAACAAAGTCCCTGATTTCAAAAGGATGAATCTACAGGGGTAGGGAGGGATATTCATGTGAACACGGGTACAATGTTCTGTGCGAAGTGGTGAATTGGATTTAGCTCAAGAAAATGAGACAGTATGCAGCTGAGACTGGCATTACAGTAGCCTGCTTCCACGTATTCTGGTAAGAAGAAAGGGTCTCTCCAATCTTTCCCAATAGTTAAAGAGGGAAATATAATACAGCCTGATATTTATCAGGGATGTTTAGAAAACCAATATCTTCCAGTCGTTTTCTTGGAAAAGATCAATTTCTCTGAAATTAAATTTTCTTATCTCTAAAAGGTAGATGATAATAGATGTGACAACAGAAAAATCTAGGGTGACTTGCATAAACACCCACTGAAAGTGTCCTAGTCTTTGGGGTTAAGCCCTGAGCATTAAATAAAAACACTTATGAAGTGCATAACACAGTATCGATTACAAAGAAAGTGTTACTAATCATCTGTTAAAAACATGTCTTAACTGCGAAGTTATAAATTCTGCAGTGCTCAGTGTCCGGCGGAAATCCATTTAGTCTAAGTCATCCCACTCCAAGAACAAGGCCCTTCCAGCACTGTAGGGAACTGGATCAAGGTATGCTGTGTTTAGAGGAGGCCATAGCCTTGTGGAGCTGGCAGACATTGTATAAGGCCTCAGCCTTTGGTTAGTGTACGTCTTCTCACTAGTGTGTTTTTCCGCCTGTAAAATGACAAGAATGGTTCCATGTGTTTTAAATGGTTTCTGTGATGATTGAGTTAATGTGTATAAAGTGCATCACTCATAATCACTGTTCAGTAAGACAGGTGTGGTGGCACACACCTGTAATCTCAGCAGTCTGGGAGGCTGAGGCAGGAGGACTGCAAATTCAAGCTCAGCCTGGGCAACTTAGTGACTTAGCAAGACCCTCTCTCAAAAAGTGAAAGGGCTGGGGATAAAACTCAAAGCAAAAGCCTTAAGTCAGTCCTCAGCATCGGGGAAAAAAAAAAAACAAGAAACACAGTGCTCAGTAATTATCAGTTACAAATTTTCTGCCATTCCTGATGAGAGTTGACACTAGCAACGTTATAATAAATATAGGCTTTTGTTAGAAAGGTATTAAGAAACTCCTTTTCCTAGGTCACCCAGGAGCTGTCTTGGTTCACAGTTGACAAATTAAATTCCCATATTTTTTCACTTTGCTCAGACAGTCTTTATCAAAGCATATAAGACACTGTACTTTCTCACCCATCTTCCCCTACTCTTGCGCTGCACTTTCCTTTCCTCACTTTCCTGCTGGAAAGGAAACTGTTTGCTGTACTCTTGAATATAGTCTGAGTTTGGGGTCTTTTTCTCCGGAGCTGTCCCCCAGCTTTTAATGTTTCATTTCCACGGGGTTCAAATTCTAACTCTACTTCACGGTTCAGTTAAATGCAATTCTTCAAGGTCAGCCAATGAAACCCTGGTCTCTGTCGTAGTCTGTAAGAACACACTGTTCCTTAAGCACTCGTCTAAGGGATGAGATTATGGGTGATTGATTATCCCAGTTGATTCAGCAAAGACTGTCTTGTTGTCCATTACGAAAGACAGTGGTTAAACACATCTGTAAGTGAAAAGAAGCCTGGGCCTTCAGCAGCTTCCAATAATACTCATTTTAAAAATGGTTTTGTTCTCTAAATAAGTGGTAATACCCTAGACGCTTATAAGTAATAGTGGTACTTAGAAGAAAGAGCACACGTGGTCTCTCACACTGACGCCAACCCCCCTTGGCCACCCGAAACACCTCCGGGACTGAACACCAGTTTTTTTGCTTGGTGCCCTAAAGTATTTCATCGGTTTTCCGAGCTCCGATGAAGTTCCTGAGAGATAACTCAGTCTGCTCTCGTCTGAGGAGGCGCTTCCCCTGTCATTTTTGGGGGAGGACTTCAAAGTTTCCGAGGGAGAGCTGTGTCTCCCCCCAGACCCCCAGCGGCTCGGAAGGGGCGGGTCTCGGCCTTCCGAGGGCTGAGGTTTCCTCCCCTCG